TAACTGAACCTTATTATGGTACCACATGGATTCACTTCTTGATGCTGAAACACTCTGGAGGAATACAGATGAAGAACAGACCTACACTTCATCCTCCAGCACTAGTCAGAACATTTTCCACAGTGAGACTTGGATACACCATGCAATTTTTCTGGCATTGGAGCATTTCTGCTTCCAAGAATGACTCTCAAAGCAGATTAGCCAAGGTCACCACCTCCCTCACTAAACAACTCCTATCAGAACCAAATCTCTTTAATGCTGGGGCAGGCTCGGGCAAGCATCCTTAAGAGTTTTTTCAGGACTCTGAAGTGTATTTGATGTGGCTCTCTCCAAGCTACATAAACGAGTAGATCAGGTATAACTGAACACCTTTTGTCCCAGGTGCGTTTGCTATAAAAAACAACAACTAATTTGACCTCTTCTACCACTGTTTTGGGTGCCAGCCTCCAGGTAGGACCTGGGGATCCCTCGGAACGACAGCTCATCTCCAGACTAAAGAGATCAGTCCCCCTGGAGAAAATTGATTCTTTTCAGGATGGACTGTATGGCATTGTCCCTGTCTTCCCCAGGCTCCACCCCCAAATCTCCAGGAGTTCCCCAACCTGGATCAGCAAACCCTACCCCGCATCCCCTGCCGGTGGCCAGAGGGGACCTGGCAACCCTAACCACTGTTGCATTGCCCTCTGAATTCAATTCAACCCACTTAACTTTAACAAGGAAGGGGGAGAAGAACTCAGTGTTCACTGTGACATCAGAAGGTGGCTGTAAAACTGTTGTCAGTAGCATATACTGCATTACTACGACTAAGGTTTGCTGCTACCTCTCTTCTTTCCCTGCTTTACAACCTGAATGTTCTTTCCAATCCTGCATTTATTCAACAGCATGGCTAAGCTCAAGGCAGAGGATCAGACAGGTTTACTGAGAAATGGTGTGTCCTTTGTTGAAGATACTGGATGGGTCTAATATCAGGATTGCCAGAAGCTGTGACAGAGTAACAGGTAATGGATGCTCCCTAAGTGCTGTGTGATCTTGTGCTTCGTTGCAGTGTCTGGAATAGACATTTGGTGAAGAGGGTACGTGTGCACCACTGCACTGTGTTGCATTTCTTTATGTTTTCAATTGCCTCCTGATGTCCCAGTATAGTCCTTCCAGATAAATGCACCACTGCCATCTTCTTCTGATATTGCTCTTGGAATCAATTTAATGGGGGAAAGGGCTCAGTAAGGACGAAGATGACTGTATATATTGCCAAGCTTTAAATAAAAACAACTGCCATCAGAACAGCTGGAGAAAGGGTGAGATCGCACAGTGCTTATCCAGTGCAATGAAAGGGCACTGCAGGGAATGTACAGTGCAATAAAAACAATTGATTTAAGTGGCGTTCGACTGGAGTAACTGCATTAGATTGCACTACTAGCATCTATAATGAGGTGCAAACATTCACACATGGAGAAAGGCCAGCGTGCTTCTGGACATCAGGGTTCATGCACAGAGCAGGCCTGGATCCTGCTTTTTACTTGAAGAACACTGTGGCAACACAATCAAAGAAGGCAATTCTTGGACCAAAAGTCTATACTTTAGAACCACTGGGCACGTGATTGCACTTTTAAAGATCTCATTTGCCATATTTATTCTGTGCCTGGTGGTTTTATTCTGGAAAAACTTGTTTTCTGGTCCATATTGAATTTATATTTTGCATCCATTCTGATTGTGTCTACATGAGTGTATTATATTTTTATAGCCATCTTGCCACTCAATTGTTTGACCTCTGAGGAAGGCCTATGCAGGCCGAAACACGGCAGGTCAGGTTTTTAAAGCCCATGTGTATTGCTATGTTATATATATGTATGTGTGTGTGTGTGTGAATGGGCCCTTATATATGTTTTAAATTTGTACTTAATAAATACATGTAGCTTTTTCTATATATCTTTTACATTTAGTTTTTAATATTGGCCCTCTTTTTCACATTGTACTAACCTTTGTTAGGTTCTGAATTTTAGTGTTAAGGTTCAGTTTTTTGCCCTTTCTGTCCCTCCTTGAAATAACATGACGAATGCCCCATGGAGAAACTTTTATTTCCAACATGATTTCAAAACTGTACTCATTTGGAGGTATTTGCAAAAGCTATCTTTCTCTCTTCTCTCCCTGCTAGTCTAAATGTGAAACCTTGCATTGACCTAATAATTGCTTAAGCAAGATGATTTATTTTATAGCCATGTCTTCTCAAGAACAGCTTGCCATTTTCTATCAGCCTCAACTTTTCCATAGTCACCAAAACTTAGAAAAAAAGAAAAAAAAATGTTGCTGACACAAAAAACTGAAGGAAAAGTTTCTGAATCTTCCAAGGACAAATCAAAACTATGCACTGATCTACAGGTAAAGCTTTTAAATAAAAAGCAGAGCTTTATGATGATTTACAAAATGGAAGGCGGATCATCCTGACAGTGCACAGGTATCTAAGGCAAGGCACATGATACTCCTTAATGTCTACAAATCAGCTTTGGTCATTCCTTCATTGGGCTAGGAAGTTGAACAGCAACCTCATTTACCCTCCACTCCACTCTTTAAGAACGGCAGCCATGACTAATGAAATGAATAAATATCAGTGTCTAGATATAGTAATTAGTCCAATTTTGAATTTCTACATGGCTTTAAATATAGATTACATTCGCCTACAAAATTCCACTGTCTTTTGAGTAATCACTCATTATTGTTTGGCCATTCTAAGCTTTTCAAATAATAAATTGTCATTCTTGACCATCTGTTTTACAAAAGTGATCTGCTTCACACCCTACAGACTAAGCAGAAGTCCCTGAGCACTACTTTCTGCCATCTGTCATGGAGAAAGGAGTGGAGCCAATGCAGCAGTAGTCTAGGGCTAGTCCAGCCAGGTGGTCCCGAAGGCTGCCCAAGAGGATAAACACTTCCTTTGTCAACTGACCAGCCTACAGCATCTTACAGGGTGAACGAGGCAGTTTCAGTGCCATAGCCAGGTTTGCATCCAAACACGGAAAAGGATCTAGATATTTTGTTTCCTCTTTTTTTTCCTGGAGTTTGGCCACCCCTCTCTCTAAATGGGATATCAGATGCTGGTCTGTAATTGTTTACCCAGTGTATTATAGTAGTTAGTCTGCTCAACTGAGATCTGAGAGAACCAGATTCAAGTCTCCACACCTCCATGAAGGTCGCAGGGAAATCTTGGGCCACTCATTTTCTTTCTACCTAATCTAACTCACAGGCTAGTTAGGAGGAAGACAGGACACCCATCTGTTTCCAGGCACAATTCAAAGAGCTGGTTATTATCTTTAAGGCTCTAAACAGCTTGGGTCCGGGATACCTGGAGGATCATCTCCTCCAGGCTGCCAGTTAAGGTCTGCCCCTCAAGCCTTTCTCTCTGTGTGCCCTCGGCTTCAGAGGAGAGGCAGGTGGTGACTAGAGATGGCATTTTCTGTTGTGGCACCTTTTCTCTGGAACACCCCTCCCCTTGAAGCTTCCCTGGTGCCTGCTTTACTGTCTTTTAGATGTCAGGCCGAAACATTTCTTTTTACCCAGGCTTTTAATTAGAGGTTTTTATCTTACCAGTTTTTAATCATCTTCTTCTGTTTTATGGACAGTTTTTATGCTGTTTATGTTCAATGGCTTGTTTTTATATTGCTACGTTGGTTTAATTGTAAGCTGCCTTTAGCAGGAGTCTGAGGAGGCAGCATAGGAATATACTAAATAAAGAAGGGGAGAACAATGTACATTGGTTCTGAGCTCCTTGGTAGAAGGAAGAGATAAAAATGTACTAAGTAGGCTTAGATTGGTGTTATCTAAAGGCAGTTACTTCAAGAGGGGTAGTATTACTATGGTTTCCATAACAACTTCATTGCTTGAAGACTTTGCATAACAAGTTACTAATATGATTTTGCATTCAAATGATGATAATTTTAAAACAGTGGGTATAGATTTTTCATAGGTTTATTATTGTTTAGAACTTCAAAATCGGCGGCCTGATACTATCTGAGATATTAACATGTATTCACTTCATTAATCATGACTTCCATGTGTTAAAGATGGTGGCAAGAAAAGTGCCTTTTCAGGATAAATGACTTCTTCAGCACCTCAGCACAAAGTCTAGTAAAAAAACAACAACACATGGGCTGTATATATATATGGCTAGAGTAATTATGATGTTTTTTTCCACTTAAAGGCTCAGAGCTGTCAAAACATGGGAGGGTTCTCTTAAAGAGACAGAGAGCACCTCAGCACAAAGTCTAGTAAAAAACAACAACACATGGGCCGTATATATATATGGCTAGAGTAATGATGATGGGTTTTTTTTCCATTTAAAGGCTCAGAGCTGCCAAAAGATGGGAGGGTTCTCTTAAAAAGACAGAGGTTGTTTGTAGACCACTGTGATGCTGGCAAAGTTTCATCCTAGGCACTTCAAAATGATTTTCAACCACGAAAGGTCCTCTGCAGTGCACAGGCTGTATAAATATGAATGGACTAAAAGTTTCTTTTGGTAGCCCAAATATTCTGCTGAGCAGTGATGGTAAAGATGAACAGCATTGTTGTGTTTGTTGCCCCCCCCCCTTTCACTTGGAGAGACAGGAACAGGCTTTTCATGTATTGGAGAGAATAATCACGACAGAATTGTTTAGCGTTCCTGCTTCTACTAGGATTTTCCTTATGAGGACTACTATTTGCAACGTATTAGATCAGTCAAGTATCTATAAGTTAGGGCTGCATGAAGTTCTATGAAGACCTGAATTGTTCAGCATGAAAATCACTGTACGATAACTAAAGGCACTTCAAAACTTGGTAGACATGTATCTATTCAAACTGGGAAGAAATGAGAGTGGGGGAAGAAAGTTGTTCTAATAATTTCCAGGTTATCAAAAACAAACAAGACTAAAAGGGAAAAGGCCAACTTTATGAAACCTGCTTAGACGCAGATCCACCGAAAAGCATGCAACTGCAGGGGGCTGTTGCATGAGCAATACTCTTTCATATAATTAAAATGTCATATTAGAAAAGATATTTTGAGGTTTTGTGGCCGATAATGGATTATCTGGTGCTGCTGGCAATTCTCCGGTAAAGGCAGTGAACCGATATTCCGGGTGAAGGTCCTTTTTCAAGTCGGCTAGCTCTGCTTCTAGTTCCTCAGCCTGTGGGGAAAACCATTAAGATACAAGTAAAACCATAACAAGCATCAGCACATTGACATGACATTAGAAATGGCAACGTATTGCATTGTGCCCCAAACCAGCAGCTACTGTTCTGTCTGTAAAACTGGATACATAAACTGAATAGCTGCCACACTGGTCTCAAAGTAATATCCAGGATTGTTTTCAGCTATTTCCATGTTGCTGTTGTTTTCTCTCTACATGGACAGCAAGAAGTCCCCACAGTTTTAGGGACTTTCCAGACTGCATCATGCCCACTCTATGTATGGCTCCTTTGTTTCCTTCTTCTTCCCCTTTACTCTGGAGAAAATATAAAACTCATTTTCTCTGAAGGCAAATTGCAACATGGCTGTAGGTGGGGCATAAATGTGGACACTCTGCTACAGTCATCACAAAGGTCGGGGGACTCAGCGCCACCTTCAAAATTGTAGAGCTGAGCTCCGCATTCTCCTTAATCCCCAGCCTTTAAAGGGCTTTCGTCATTTCTTTACTATTTCTGCGCTGTAGCTATACGGTGTGGCTGGAGAAAAAGATGCCTTTTAAATTGTTACAGACATCTGCCACCTGAGAGCAACACTGAAAGTAAAAAGCAACTTTTCACTGTATTTCAAAAGGAAGAGACGTAACTCACCGTTTGAAAGTCTTGATCTGCTCTTTCCATATCTTCATGGGGTATTCCTGTTAACTTTTTCCTTCTTTCTTTCATTATCTGTGTGAGCTGCCTGATACGGTTTTCCACTTCCCTGTATTTGGCAGCTCTGAAAGAAATGGAGGAAAATATACATATTTTTCAAATCTTCCGTGCCTACGTATCTTCTTAAGATATATGCTGCATTTCTAGCATACACTATCACAGCAATTAAAAAGAAATGTTAGTTATGCAAACACAATGGCAGTCCTTTCAACATTCTGCTGCCTATGGCATGATTCACACATGACAAACAAGCCTTCGTTTGTCATTACAGGAATGAGCCCTGGGAGATATCTGGCTCATTTGCTGCTTCCCTCCTTTCCTTCCCTCTTACCCTTTAACAGCACAGGAGTAAAACACCTTTGACTCACTAACGATGGCTTGCTGTCTTGCCTTAAAACTGGGGTTCTATACCACAGCGACAGAAGAAGCTGTGTTTTGCTGCTGAGAGTGGAAATGCTTAATTTCTGAGAAGTGTGTAAAAAGAGGAGGGATGGGAAAGAGGACAGAGCCTCAAACTGTCAAGGCTTGTTCCCATAATACAAACCATGGTTTGTTGTTACGTGTGAATTATGCCTTGCCTGTATGGTTTGGGGAAGGAGTTTTAAAAATCTGCAAACATGAAGTAAGTGTGAAATAAAACACGAGCATAACATGCTAGGTCCACTCTACAAAAATGTTGTCATGCTTAAGATCCATTGATTTCAGTAGGATATAAACTTGTCTAACATTTCTGGATCAGAGCCTCTGACCTTGATCAAAAATCCATCACTGTGAATATTAGAAGTGTGATTCAAGAAGCACTGCTGCAAGATGCCACCCATTTACTTGAGTGGGCTTCCTTGGGACTCATGTGCCATTTTTATTTATTATTATTATTTAAAACATTTATATCACATAATCTATTCCTTTTTTAAAGAAAAAATTACATTCCATCTTGTAGTCAATTTATGGCAGCCCAGCTATAAGTGCATGACTGTTACACAGTAAATGTAGGAGGGTGAAAGGCATTTTTGAGTAAATCACCTTTGTAACATGACAAAAAGTTTCAGTGCACCCATGAAACAACATGTAGGACTACAATATATTTAATGTTTTCCATCCTGCTTCTGAAAGCTCCTAAAGCAGATTATTTATAACCATTAAAAGACAGTCTCTAATCTGCAGTATACTGGAGATTGTGACAGATAGATGATAGATTGATTGATATATAGGTAGGTAGGTAGGCACAGAGAGACAGACAGACAGAGACAGATAGTTTGTTTGCTTATGCAGTTCTATAGTTGTTTAGCCCAGAATACACACAGAGAAACAGCAAATTTACCCAATATTTGAGCACCCATAAGGAGAGGTCTGCATAACAACATGCACATGTATCTTGGAGTCTAGAAACAACCATGTCCCTGGATTTTAGAATCCAGGTCCAGTCAGGGATCCCAGACTTGGGTACCTGAGTGTCTCAAGAAACCTGTACCTGTGTGCAGAACATCCAGACTTCACGTATTTCCTGTGGGAAATAGCACTGGTATTTCCTACAATGATGTGCGGAGCCGCTCTAAGATGAGGGCTGTTTGATGAGCAGTCTGCCAGACCTTCATGTGTCTTACAATAAAAGCAATATCCAATAAAGCCATTCTTAAACAAAAACATAATATTAAATACATGCCAAACTTGAGTGCAGTTGTTGAATGCTCCAGTTTGGCATATATTTACTTTGGCTTTCTTCTGCTGAAACATTCTATTAGGCTAATAACTTAATATCTGGATTTTGGTGGTACAAAAACTACAGTGCATACAAGTCTAAGTTAATTAATAACAATAATAACAACAAAATCAACAACAGATCAAATCAATACAGAATTTAAATAAGCCTCCAATAGAAAACACCAACCACCAATTTAAAAAAAGGCCATTGTAAAAAAGGACAGCCTTGCAAGCCTTTAAAGAGCGGCCAAGCTTCTAATATTTATTGGCAGGCCATTCCATAAGCTTGGGGCCACTACGGAGAAGGCGGAAGAGCAAGCTGAGGGTGGCTGTTCTAACAATTGTGACAACAACAGATCAAATCAATACAGAATTTAAATAAGCCTCCAATAGAAAACACCAACCACCAATTTAAAAAAAGGCCATTGTAAAAAAGGACAGCCTTGCAAGCCTTTAAAGAGCGGACAAGATTCTAATATTTATTAGCAGGCCATTCTATAAGCTTGGGGCCACTATGGAGAAGGCCGAAGAACAAGCTGAGGGCGGCTGTTCTAACAATTGTGCGATGCAGCACAACAAAAAGTTTCTGATCCTAAGCTTTGAGATTACAGTAGCATGGATCAGCATAGCCAGAAAAGTTGAGGCTAGAAGGGACAGCAAATGTCCCACCACATGCCATTGGTAAAAGCAATTTTTGTCCATTTCTCCATCAACAAGGAGAGATTCATCAAAACCCCCAAGCTCTTGACTGACTCAGATGATGAAAGAAACCCCATCCAAAGCTGGCAACACATTCTCTGTCTCCGAGGAAGGGACTTCAAAGTTGGAAGTGGGAATCATGGGAGGGGAAAAGTTACAGGGACTACAGTGCATCGATTTCCCTTCTCCTCTGCCCCAACCAGTTTCAAACTTCAGTGCGCTAGAAGGAGCTGGATGCACAGCAGAGCTGAACTCTCTACTCTCCTCTGTTCTTTTTAACAGGCTGCATGGAGTTAATGGAAAAGTTGGCAAATGAGCCAATGTGGTGTGGTGATTGGGCTATTTGCCTTAGACCAAACAGACCTATTTCAAATTCCTGTTTAGCTGTGAAACTCTCATTGAGTCCCACTGAATCAGGCTCTCTCCCTCAGCCTGAGCTACTTCAGGGAGTAGCTGTAAGAAAATCCCCCACACATAATCCCCCTCCATCACCATGAGTTCCTGGGAAGATGGGTGGAATATAAATCTAACATATATAGACAGAGGAATTTCTTAGGTTGCTTTTATCCAGACTCGGAGAAGACAAGGAGTATCTGTCTTCTGCATTCTGCTTAGCAAAGATTGACTGTGATTAACTCTTCTTTTATTTATTCTTCTAATTATTGCTATTTGACCAGAGTGTTTGTCCAGCACATACTAGGGTACTTCAATGGCACTGAACTTGTTTGGCTATCTATACAGAACTGTTTTCCCTCTCACAACCCCCCCCCCAAAGAATATTCCACAGTTTCTCTTGAGCAATTAGGACCTTAAGCTGACTTTCTGGTAGTCAACCCCAAACTGATGTGCCTTTGATTGAATTCGATTGTGCCACTCTTTTATAACAACTGTTTATGGTAAATGATAGACAATATGTTGATACACTGAATGCTACTTGGCTCTCTCACAATCCCTTATCTTTTCTTTAGGCTAAATGTGTCAAATTCTTTCAACATTTCACTGGCATCTGCATATGGGCTTGAAACTCAGCGTTATAGCATGGATACTGTTAAATGCATCTGCTACAGTAACAGAATACAAAATTAAAGGGAAAAACATGTAGGTCTGCCCATAAAATAGTAAGAATGCCTTGGAGTGAAAAAAATCTTATACTAGAGAGCTTTGTAGCTACATGTGCTCCATAATTCTGAAAGCAGGTTGAGCTGAAATGAGTGGGAGCTGGAGCCCAGATCCCTTAAGTGAAAATATTTGCACGAATGGATACTTATGATTTAAAAACAGTACTGGGGAAGAGCAGACTGTATGAAATGCATGAGCAGGAAGATGGGGAGGAGGGAAACAATGAACTCTCCTGTGAAATTCACACACGTAATTAAAATGTGATGCATCTGAGTTCAGAGACAACTAAAAAAACAACAACACAACAAGAGCCGAAAGACAAGATGCCAGCATGGAAAGGCCCAAGTACTCCATTACCGAGGCATTTTCAACAGTGCAAACCCAGTCTGCTTCTAGATTTGCTCTCACCTTGCCTCCTCCTCAGTGGATTTCTCAGTGCTCAGATTCAGCGTCATCTCCATTGGACCTTCTTGTTTCTTCGGCACTCCCCAGCCTTCTAGTTTGCCATGGTAATGGCTGTTGTAGTCGGTAGCAAAAGGTGGATTCTGTGAAATCGAGAGCAATGCAGCACAGTGTGGCATTAGCACATTCCAAGGGAAGCAAAAAATGTCTGCACCGGCTAAGACTACAACACTCCGCACAGCACAGGGCCCTTTGGTACCTTAAACAATCTTGTAGCAGAGAGGATTTGACTTGATGCCCCTTATCTGAAATCCTCCCCTCTTCACAATTCTCAATCGAGCCGGAATCCAGGTGCATATTAAATTTGGCAAGTGAAAGTCCTATGGAGCTTATCCAGATGTTTCCTCATCTCTACCCAACAGAGACCCTGAGCTGGGTGGCCCAGACAAGCCAGACCTCCTCCGATGTCGGAAGCTAAGCAGTGGCATTCACTAGTTGTTAATTCAAATCCCAAATGAAAGCTCAAAGCATTTATGTTGGAAGCTAGTTGCTGCTTCTCCATCCCAACACCCATCCGCCACACTCATTTCTGATCCAGCACCACAGGCAGTCAAGGTATACTCTAGTCAACCCCCCATGCCTTTTCACATGCCAAAACAGAGTGTGTGTGTGTGTGTGTGTGTGTGTGTGAGTTTTCAGCCATTTCAGCACTTGCAAGTGTGCAGGGGAAAACAAGAGCACCTCATCCTGCCACACTACTCTCCAGTATGTTTAAATCACCTCATTCGGCATTAAAATGATGGGTCTGACCCATGGACACCATCACATCTAGTTTGGCCCACAATGCAATGAAGGAAGCCACATTAGAAATTAACTCCAGGTATGCAAGATGTATGAGTGCTGGTGTGTGGGTGAACTGCAGTTAGTTTCCCCATAGGGATTTATTCCTCATACTCTGCATGAGGAGGGAGGGGGAGGAAAGAAGAACAGCAACAAACCGATCACAGCAACAGGCCAAGTTTGTACATGTATCGTCTTAACGTTAGTTAAATGTGCTATCTGAATGCAGCCTGTGGCTTATGACAGCCATCTCCGGTCCCAGCTTCCTAATTCCTGAGACCACACAGTTTGTGAAATCTTTGGAAGTCATATGGCACAATCTATTTACCTGGGAGGCAATACATAGGTAACCTGCAGCAATGGCAGCTGTGGAAAGATGATGCCCTCCACAGGATTTTGCCATTAGTGTTGGCTTCAGAATCTTGTGCCTTGAGCAATACTGCACCTTTCTCCTAGTTTTATTGTAATTGACCATGCCAGAAGAATTATGCCATCCCAGAAAATAGTGGGCTGCCACACAAATTCTTGACAGCATCAACAACATGCCAGTGTATGAAGTTATTATACAGAAAATTCTGACCTGCAGATTAGGTTGGCTAGTGTCTGAATGACTGCCACCCATTTAAGATGCCCAAGACCTAGACTTTCCCATTGCAGCATGGGATGTATCTCCTGCAGTGAATTAAATGGGTTGTTGCTAACGAATTCACTTAGTAAACAATTCAGACAAAGAACAGGATATCATCTATGAGTGGCCATTTCTTCCAGCATGCCTAGGCAACTCCCACTTTTCCTAACTTCATTATTATTGAACTTCCCCAGAGCTGGATACAACCCCAAAACAAAGCTTGGGAACCACACTGAACTGTTTGCTCGGCCTCCTACATAACAGGTGTCCCCAAACTTTACTACAAACAAGTGAACAAAGAAAAAACCCTCCAGGAGCAAAATGTGTCAAAACAAAGCCATCCTATGGTTGGCTTTTTAAATAGTACATGTCCAGGGTGAAGACTTTCTGATTCAGGGGAAGGCCTGCTAATCAATATGACTCTTCCATGTGCAGCCCTACATGTCACTGTTTGTGTCCCAATGGCTAATGTAGACCTATCAGATAAGACGAGCACAGAAGCCCCTAACCTTAATGAACCTGTGGGCACTTTGGGAATTTTGAAAAAGAAAGTGGGTGGGCTCCACAAAAAGGGGGTGGAGTGTGGCCAACCACAAAGTGATTACCACGGCTGCTGAGGCCAACCATAAAATGTTGAGAGGTTCCAGAACAAGCATTCTCCTACAGTGGGCCAACTATTTCTGAATGAGTGCTCCAGGCAGACTTAAAGATGATGCCTCCTGGGCTCTTCTAGAATGCCTTCTCCTCCTCTGAAGTGTAGGAAAACCATGATTACCTTTTTGCATTGGGGGAAGAGAAGCTTTGGGAAGAAGGAAGTGAATACCAGATGACACACCGATGGGCACCAGGTTAGTGATCACTGGACTAGCAGTAGCAAGATGTTTGAAATTGAGAATGGAGAACAGGTCTTGTTGTGAGTCGTTTCCTTGTGCCTGTGTTTGCAGCTGGCACTCCCAATTCACTTGTTTCTTTTATGGCAGCTCAACACCATTTACATATTACAAGTGAAGATCTGTGAGAGTAAATCCCCTCACTGGTCCCTGCCTGCTCCTCCTGCTTCCCCTCCCTCCACTGCTGCTTCCCCCCCCCCCACCCCACTTTTCCCCACTCTTCTTCCCCAGC